CCTTTCCCTCCTCCTCCTCCACTTCTAACCCTTCCTCCTTTCTTCCACCCTCTCTTCCCTTCTTTCCTTACTCTCTCCTTCCTTCCCTCCCTTCTTTCCTTTCCTTGTCTTTTCTTGTTCCTTCTCTCCTCTCACTTTGCCCAATACACTCCTCCTTTCCCTTTTCTACTTTGCTCCTTTGGAATCTTTCTATAGATCACTTGGGTGATATATGTTTAATCAACAAGCAGATAAAGTGGAATGTGTATTCTCTCCCATCGTGGGTATTTATAACATCCCACCCCCCCAATTTATCATAGGCTTCAAGTATCATTTACATGCAATTTATTCCCTTCTATATAGAGAATAAAGATTTTAAATAGACTGGAGAGAACTCTGATTCCTGTAGAAGGAACCATATGGGTAAAGAAGACAGTAAACAAAAGATAATGACCATGGAAATGGATATTTATCTTATTTGGAGAGGGAATGGGCTTAAAAATAAAGAATTTGGTGCCCTTGAAGGTTACATCTATACACAGAAAAAAAAACCCAGAGTGATATTTAATATGTAAGAAAGTGTAATCTAGTAAAACAGAAGGAAAACAATCTTAAATACAAATATTTAAGAAGTCAATGGAGCCCAGGAAGTTTTAATGTTGAAGAAGACCTCAGGGTAATAATGGATAACAAAATAGACAGATGTTTATGTGGTATGACAACTCAAAAGGCTGATGCTATTCTGAGCTGTGTATGATAACATACTATGGAGTAAGGTATGAGAATAAAGAAATATGCTAGAACTTAAAACTCTTTTTTTGTGCAAGGACAGCTAGGCGGCTCATTAGATAGAGTACTGGGCCTGGGGTTAGGAAAACCAGAGTTCAAATGTTACTTCAGACAATTACTGTGTGACCCTAGGCAAATTAATTAACCTCTTGGTTTCCTCATCTGTAAAATGTGAATAACAATAGCATATACCTCACAGGGTTGTTGTGAGAATCAAAAGAGGTAATATTTGTAATAAAATAAAGGAAAGGAAGTGAGGGAGGAAAAGATACACTACTTGGCCTGGTTCCTGGAACATTGTAGATACTTAATAAATGCTTATTTCCTTCTTTCTTTGTCCATTTCTGCCATTAACTATGAGACTTATTATTTATAGCCTCTGTGTTCTGTCTTCACCAATCAGGGATAATTATGTTCACCCCTGGCTTAATGTATTGTCCTTATGAGAAGGTAATGATGACACAATATGATTAGTAAGCTCTGAATTGTTTCCAAGAAAGGTGATAGAGGTGGAAGAAGAAAGTACCAAATTTTAATACAAATAAAAAAATCATAAATTAAATAAATAAATAAATAAATAAATAAGTCACTGTCATACTTTGGCAGTGAATGAACTAAATGGTTATCCAAGTAATTTCTAATCACTTCACTCAAAAATATTAGAGAGTTATTTTCATGGATCCATTATTGGACAATTGGAGTGTGAAGCACAGCATATTTTTTTTTTTTTAACATTGTTGAGTGAGACTTTGCTATGTATTTTTGCAGTGAGTATCAATGTGCCATTTGAAATTTATTTCAACTTCAACAGTCCTGTAATCTGATCAGTGTGGCTACTTATTCCAACAGTGTAGGCCAAAGCCCCTTCCTGTTAGGGTTAGGGTTCTTATTTTTGGTGGTTCTTGTCCATGTCTTGCCACAAATCCTCCATAGGAGATCTTCCCAATGTGCCGGGGTCTTGCTCTGATTTTTTCAGTGTTTTATGGATGCTCACTCAACAGCTGGGCTCTCCAGCTGTTATCCCAAACTCTTGTTACATGACATAACGTGTCCTTTACTGTTCTTGATGCCTTATACCAATGTCTGTGTGCAAATCATCATTAGTGATGTATTGTATATTGTTTGTTTTGTATGTATTGTATGTATGTATGTATGTATGTATTGTTTGCATTGTATGTATGTATTGTATATACATCTTCCATGTGGTATTCCACCATCTTTTAAAATTCTTCCAATTTTAATGGATGTATGAACAGGTTCATCAAGCATTTAAGTTTGTACCATGCACCAAGTTCTGTGGATACAAAGACAAAAATGAGGATAGAAGATCAGGCTGAACAACACAGTAAAAGGCTATTGCAATAGTCCAGCAAAAGGTGATGGAGGCCTTAATGAGAGTCGTGACTGTGTGAGTGAAAAAAGGGGATGGATGATGGATGTGAAAGATGCTATGGAGGCAGATTTGAAAATACAAGATGATTAATTGGATTACAAGGATGAGGGAGAGTGAAGAATTGAGGATGAATTTGAGGTTGCAAACCTGGGAGACTAGAAGGTGGTGGTGGTGCCTGGGGCAGAAATAAAGGAATTAAGAAGCAAGGTAGGTTGGGTGATGGTAGTGGAAGTATAATGAGTTCAATTTTGGACATATTGGGTTTGAGATCCCTACAGAACACTTAACTGGGGAGAGTTAATAGGTAGCTGGTGAAGCAGGATGGTACCTCAGGATCTGATTTTTGTACCCAATGCAAATAATACAAAACGTATTCTGAAATTATCCTGGAAAGGCTTCATGGTGTGGGTGTGGGTAAAAAAAGCAGAAACCAAAGGGTAAGGCAGTTGTCCAAGGGGAGCGTACCCAGGGGGCAGTTGATGAGAAGGGTGAAAAGTACCTAATACTTCCTATTTTAATTAGATATTCTTAGCAACTAGGTTCTAAGTTTGATTGATTCTATACTTCCGAAGAGCTTGTAAGTACTGTCAGCACCCTATAAATTTCATCACCTTGAAGCAAAGCCCCAGTCATTCTACCCTAGTTTGAGCTCTGCCTGTTTCCATGAGGAATACTGCAAAATGAGTTGACCGTGTGTTCCATGAAATGATATTTATTGTTGCCTTTGGGCACATGATGAAATGAACACTCCCAACTTTATTTGCCTGTCTGAGAAGAATATTTATCATTCCATTTAGCTACAATTTTTTTATATCTTCCAGTTCCATTTATATTGAGAATATTAAAATAGCTATGATTCACTTCCTCCAGTAGTCCAACTAATTGGTCATTGGACAAACTTTACATTTTAAGAAGATCAGTAGTTAAAATAAAGCATTTAGAGCTAACAACTCTATTTGAGGCTTAGCACACTCTCCCCTTTCTTCTATGCCCTCACCATCTCTGCAGAATTGGAAGGGGGTTTATGATAAACTGAAGCAATTTTGCATTTTTATCTCTTTCATGGGTCTTACTGGCCAAAAAAATTGGTCACAGTGGCCAAATTTCTGATGATGAGAGCTGCTCCATACTTAACTGGACAGGTCCTTGAACACCAAATAGTCTATTGCTAAAAACCATAGTTGAAACCTTTCCAGCTTTACGTAGTAAAGAATGATGCCACTTTTGTTGTTGTTGTTATGGAAAATTCACAGGGAGTATTTCCGTGTGTGTGGGGACAGTGTTAGACTCCTTTTCATATTGAACTAATCAAGAAAACATATGGCTCTTAATAAACCAGTGATAATATCATGCGCTATTTATGAGAATAGTTGGTATTTTTTGCAAATCCTTTCATGGGTTGCATTTAAGTAACTGATAAATATTTGACATACAGAATGCAATATAAATATTACATACTAACTCTTCCTAAAAGCTGAATCTTCATCTCTGAAATGCCAAGTCAGCTAGGTCTCTGTTATCAATGGTTAAAGATTTTATTTTTATTTATGTATTTATTTATTTTTTTGCCAGTATGATGCAGAGTTTCATGGTAACTTCTGAAACTATCTCTGTGCTTTTCTTTTTTTCTTTTTTCTTTTTTAGGGAGGACTAGAATAACAGAGACTGCTATTTGATGATATGAAAAAGTAGGGGTAATACTACCAAAGACTGGACAGAGTAACTGAAAAAAGGGAAGTAATAGAAAGCTGGAAATAATTGAAGGACTGAGAACCCCTTTTAGGAAGACTAAGATTATCAGCGTGGATGGCAGGATCCTTGAGTCTGAGCCCTTTGCCTCTTTCCTCAAATCCCACTTCTTCTAATGCAAGCTTCCCCACAAATCACTTACATGCCTCATTCCCTACTGGATACTGTAACCCTGGGGACACTTCTGGATATGGGAATTTCATGACTTTCACTTTCAAGACTGCTGTCTGTGTACCTGAAATACCCTGAAATTTCTCTCAGAATCTAACATCCCTTAGGGAAATTCAGAGCACCCTGTATAGACCAGATAAGAATTGAGTTGTATGGCTGCAAAGAATATTGCAAGTCTATTTTACCGGCAATTTATCCAGTATCACACACACCTCAGTAGCACACCTATCTATGGAGCGGAGGAGACACCTCTTTTACTTTTCTGTCCCCTTCACTCACCCTTCTCTCCTCTCTCCCCCTGCCCCGGTCATCCCTCCAACATAGGAACAGATCATTTAGCATAGTACTCTAACTGTATCAGGTGTTCAATAAACCTTGCTGACTGAACGACAAAACATCTTTTTTCCTTCCCTACAAGCTAGGAGATATAGGGGTTGTAGCTGGAGAATATTGTAGTGCTCCCTTGCTAAGTGAAGGAGACTTGTGACTGTTCTTTACCCAGAAGATTTTTTCCATTTCCTTATCCTCTGCCCCCTGGCTTCCGACTGCGACCCCAGCAGGAGTGCGGCGCTCGCTTGCAGTATTTCTGTCTGGAGCCTTGAGACAGCGGGTCCTCTCTCTCTCTCTCTCTTTCTCTCTCTTCCCCCCCCCCCCCCCCCCCCCCCCCCTCCCCCCCCCCCCCCCCCATCGCCCGCCCTTTCTCCCGCCCCACTTCAGCTGTGCGCAAAACCCCGGTTCCTGGGCTGCTTAGAACCCGGGGGGCATTGACGTCAAGCGTCGGAGAAGCGCTGCCGACAGACAGGTGACCCAGCCCCTCCGCCCCAACCCCCCTTCCTCTTCCTGCCTCCCTCCTCCACATTCGAGTGTGAGATTTTGTATAAAATCCGAGGGTTCATAAGGTGTGTAGGACTTCAGCACCATGGAGAGCTCCCGCCTGCGGCAGCTACCCCTTCTGGGTGCAACCTTGCTACTGGTCCTGCTCGGGGCCAGCTGCCAGGAGGATTCCGGGTTGCAGCCTAGAGCCTTGGATATCTACTCCACTGTGGAGGATACTTCCCATGAGAAGGAACTGGTAAGTGTTTTCTTCTCTTGGTCTCCTGTCTCCTGTCTCGACTGCCCCGTGGTCTCTATGTTCTACTTCACTGGCTATCCCTCCCAGTACTAGCAGACGGATAAGTGGCTTACTAAGTACTTTAGGCACCTAAGTGTAAAACCGAGTATATTGGGCTGCACAGAGGACGTTGTTGGACTGAATAAGAAACGTCCCGTACGCCAGAACTGCACTTGTGAAGGAGGGGTGGGAGTCCAAGGCTTTGACTGATGTTTCTGAATTCTTTGCTCCGGAGTGCCAGCCATCATTTCTCAAAAGAGCAATCCTGGCTCTCTTCCCGACCGAGTCCTAGAATAAAGCCCTCGTTTTAGAGTCCAGGTGGGGAGGTACCTGCAAGCGCCGCCTTGGAACTAGGGTTTTAACTTAAGCTAGGTCCGGGCGCAGATAGCCGCTTCCCGACCCGCCCAAAGTTGAGAATCTGTGTGTTGCAGATAGGAGCACTGCAAGAAGTTCTGAAGAAGCTGAAAAGTAAACGCATTCGGATCTACGAGAAAAAGTATGGCCAGGTCCCCAAGGTGAGCTGGTGAGGATTTTCTCCCTATTGCCCTAGCCTCTCCCCACGCAGACACATTTGGTTTCTTGGGGTTTGGGAGGAAACACACCTTGGATCCTATGTGCTGTTGGCTGCTCTGATATTCCCCTGCCATAGTAAATCCTTGATTGCATTAAAATGTTAAATGACTCAAATTGTGGTGGGCTCCAGAATCAAGTTCCTTTTGCATTTCTCTTCATTCCCACCACTCAGTCTTCTCTATTGTTTTCTGAAAAAGATCTCTGTCTTATCCCTTAGCCCCACATAAATGTGATGAGCGGATTCATTTGTTTGAAAGAAAGGACAGTCCCCTATAGGGGTGGAGAGGAGGGGAAGAGGAGAGGGGTACAGGTCTGTGAAACGGAGCGTTTCCTATAAATACCTACTTGTTTTTGATCCAGGGAAATCCTTTTTTAGCTAATTTAACCTTTCTCATTACTACCGTTTCCCCACTACCCTTCTAGTAGAATTTCTTGTTTAAAAAACGGTTTGACTTTCCAATGCTAAATAAATGTTTTATGTATGATCTTTGGAAAGTTTAGGGAAGGAAACCTGGGAAAGGAGCAGAAGGAGGTTATGGAGAAAGGGAAGGGATTGTGAGATGAGAGAGACTGTAAATCTGAAACAACATCTCAGTATATAACTTTTTCTGACTGAAGAAAGGAACTTGTACGTCTCCCCCCCCATTATGGTGGGCAAGAAAAGGATCTGAGAAATGGACCTTTAGCTGGTCAAGTGGGTACAAGTGGGTACAAGAAGTACCCAGTTATTTACTTTTATTTGTTCTCATGCTGAAATTGTACCTCTATGTTTTACCATGTCTACAACAATCATATTTATACATTTTAGAGAAAGTTCTGTTGCACATTTCAGTGTATGGAAGTCTTACATGATGTGGCAAGATGAGCTGTGACTTATCTCACTTTTTCCATGGTGTAAATTAAAATGTTGTGTTGTTTTTGACAGTGTGATGCTGGAGAACAATGTGCAATAAGGAAAGGAGCCAGAATTGGGAAACTCTGTGATTGTCCTCGAGGAACTTCCTGCAATTCCTTTCTCCTGAAGTGCTTATAAAGAAGCTTCCCAGCCACTCATTTCCCCCACTTTTCCACAAAAGGACCACACACCCATCTCTTGGGTTTGACTGCAGAATCACACTAAGCCTGCAGTCTCACCTGAAGATGGTGAAAATTTTTCCTTGCAGTTTACAGTTATGAGAATATAGTAAGAGTTATTGTGTTGAAAGATAAACCATGTATAGTGTTAAAACATCTGTATTCTCTCTCCACTTCATTTTATTTATGTGTCCAACTCTTGTGTACCTGGGTATAAAAAAGCTCAACTTACCTTTGCAAATTGTATTTTTGTATGTGGAGTGTCCTAAGGAAAATTAGATCTAGACAACTTTAGTAGATAATATCACAATCCAGAAAAATCACCCCACAAAAAACTAATTCAGCATGTCAAAATTATACATAATAAAGTGTTTTTGATAATTGCTTTTATTGTACTGTGGTAACCGATTAAGTTAATTCAGGAAAAAATGGCATGTTTAGGCATTCTGAAGAGTCTTTTCAAGAGAAGAATAATTTTAAAATCATGCTTAATCCGGGATCTATATCATCATTCTACTGGTTCTTATCTCTTTTTTCATTAAGGATTCTGTTACTTGAGCATCACTGTTAAAGAGTTGGTTGAGAATCAATGGGAAACATTATCATGAGGTGAAATGTCTGGTTGTGAATCTGGTTGTGGTCTAAGTATGGGGAGAGTGAGAAGGATGCATGGTATTAGTCTGGTATGATTTTAGTGATTAAAGTCTCTTTTTCAAGGCAATGTAGATTTTGAGAATTGGGTAGGAAAAATATAAGCTCCTTGTGATAGTGATCAACAACAAAAGGGATTTTTTTGAAAATGGGAAACTTTGTTTTCTGAATATCATTATTAGTGAACATAAATGGATGCCTGACTCTCTGCGTGGGTGTATGCAAATGTGAGTGCACACAGGCAAACTGAAGGGAAACAAACAAGTCAGATGGTTTGGCCTCTATGGGTATGGGATCCAATCATTGCTCCAAGAAAACAAGTCCTTTGGGGGACTCTGTGTCCAATGAGAGAAATAATCATGAAGATGATAATTACTTTCAGAGGAACAAATGTAAGTTGCTAGAGATGTGTTAACATTGAGGAAAAAATTTTTTAGCTCAAAAGTTTTAGTTTTAGTCTTTAAAAATGAGCCCTAAATGTTGGTATTTAAAAATACTATGGTTATCCCTTAGTTATTGTTTTGGGAGGCTTAAAATGATGTTCAGGGGACATAACAACAACAGCAATATTAACAACAGCTCACTTTTTCTGGCACTTTAAGGTGTAAAAATAAACTTTCTGAGATAGGCAGAACAAATATTATTCTTCCCCCTGCCCATTTTAAAGATGAGGGAACATGACTCAGAATGTGCATTCACTTCACTAGCTAATGAATGTTGGTGCTGGATTTTGAACCTTTGACTCAAAATCCAATCATCTTTCTAGGATTAATGGATAGTATAAAAGGCAATTTGTACAGATTTAGGAATAAGGGACTCTTGTGTTTCATAAAAATCCAAGGAAAGAAAAGGTATTCTAGTAGAAGGTACCTGGTTAGTCTTAGAACTCTTTGAGTGGCTAGTAGACAGGCTCCCACTAAGTTGTGATGTACTCCAGTAAGTATAGGTGGTTTAATACCCCTGGTATTACCAGAGCATCCTGTGCAGATAATCAGGTCTCTGTGGATACTCATATTAAGTTCTCCTCCTTCCTAACTGCTGAATTTCAGTTGCAGTTTATAGTTCAGTTCAGGCTAACATCATAAGAATCAAATTCCAAACCAACCTTGTGTAAATGGCTACAAATATTCTTTCCCATCTTTACAAACCTAAAAGAGAGCTGCTTTATGTCAGCATCATCTATCCTTTCCAAGGAAGAAGAATAAATAGAATCCTTATAATCAACATTCACATTTAATAATGGAATCACTGTTTATCTTCAATTTATAGAATACTTGCAGAAATGGTTTTAAAAAATGTTTGGCTGTTGAGTTCCTAGTTATTTTGCTGGGTCTTGGTTCTAAAAAAACATTCAGATGCCATGTTGGGCATAGGGCAATGGAAAGAGAGCCAGATCCTCCCCTTCACTCATGTGAACCACAACTCTCTCATGCCTTAGTGTACATGTCATGAGTTGCTATGGCAAAAAAAAAAATCATCGCTTGTTGGTTAACCAATTGGGAACTTCACTAACATAACATGACTGATCTTTTCTTAATAGTCTGTTTCCAGGCTTTTAATCCAAGCCTTTCTAACTTGGTAGGAAGTGTTAGAATTTGTGCTCTGCTGGTATTGCTTATGAGAATCCAGGGTTACCTCCCTTCTACCATGAGGCATCAGAGTTGGACTTTAGTGGAGATGAAATTTAATAGGAGTTCAAGAAATCAGTTGCAGAAGTGCAGGATTTAGTTCTTATGGAAATAACCTGAGGATTTTAGTGTTTTTCAAACAATAGGAATTGACAGTGTAACATGGTAGCTGAAAAAGCTAATGTGATTTTACACTAACAGAAGTATAGCATACAGAATAGGGAAAGTAACCATCCTGCTATTGTCTGCCCTGGTAATATCATATCTGGAATATTGGGTTCATTTCTGGGTGGTATGTGTTAGGAATGCTATTCAAAATCACATACACAGGGGCAGCTAGATGGTATAGTGGATAGAGCATTGGCCCTGAATTCAGGAAGACCTGAGTTCAAATATGACCTCAAACACTTGACACTTACTAGTTGTGTGACCCTGGGCAAATCACTTCACCCCATTTCCTCACAAAAAGGAGACAATGGACATGGAATATGGTGTAGGGTAACAGACTTTTGGGGCAGCTAGGTGGTGCTGTAGATAGAGCACCCACCCTGGAGGCCTCAGGATGACCTGAATTCAAATCTGGCCTCAGACACTTACCAGCTAGCTATGTGACCCTGGGCAAGTCACTTAATCCCCATTGCCTCAAAAAAAAACAAAAAACAAAGCAACAACAAAAAAAGCACATACATAAAAGAATCAATGAATCAATCAACTAGTATTTATTAAGCCTGTACTATGTACCATGTATGGGCAGCTAGATGACTCAGTAGATAGAGTTCTGGGTTTGGCATCAGTAAGACCTGAGTTCAAATCCGGCCTTAGACACTTATTAGTTGTGTGACCCTAGGCAAGTCACTTTACCTCAGTTAGCCTTAATCCACTGGAAAAGAAATGGCAAACTACTCCAGTTTTCTTTGCCAAGAAAACCCCAAGGACAATATGGTTTGTGGGGTCATAAAGAATCAGACACAACCAAATGAACAACAACAACACATATCAGACATTATGTGAGGTGCTGGTCATACAAATACACTGAATAAAATAATCTACTTTCAAGAAGCTTACCTTCTAATAGAGAAAACATATATATAATTATATATACACATACATTACATACTCTTCCATATATTATGTGTATATATCTATCTATTGAATATATGTACATATATACATATATGTATATATATGTATATACATATATATGTGTGTGTGTGTATATATATATATACACATATATATATGTATACAGCTAGTAAATATCCAGTAAATACAAGGTTAAATGAAAGGTAGTTTGGGAGGGAGGGCACCAGCAATTGAGGGGATCAGAAAAGGTTTCACATAGAAAGTGGTGCTTGGGCTATGTCTTGAAGGAAAAGAGGTATTCTTTATAAGGTGAAAGTGAAGAGGGAGTACATTCTAGGCATAGAATAGCTAGTTCATAGCTAGTTCATAGGCTGTTCAAAGGATGATGGAAGGGTGTGTGTGAGGAACAGAGAAGACCATTTTGGCTGGATCTCAGAGGATGAGAGGAGTATCCAAAGAGGTTGGAAGGATAAGTTGGAGCAAGGTGGTGAAGGAATTTAAAAATTAAAGAGAAGATTTATATTTTATTTGAAAGGAAATAAGAAGCCATTATATTTTGAGCAGGACAGTGACATGATGACAAGCAGATCTGTGCTTAAGGAAAATTGCTTTGCCAGGAATATGATGGAGAAAGACTTGAGGTAGGGAGAACAATTAGAAGCTTGCTGCAGTAATCTAGGTGAGAGGATAATGGATGAAAGAAACTGAAAATGGCAATGCCTTTGACAGAAATTAAGATGTTGGGAAGAAAGATGGGTTTTTGGGAAAAGAGAATGATTCTGTTTTGGACATCTTGAGTTTAGGATGTTTATGACTCATAGAGTTGTATTTTTTTGTTTTGGTTGGGCAATGGGGGTTAAGTGACTTGCCCAGGGTCACACAGCTAGTAACTGTTATATGTCTGAGGCTGGATTTGAACTCAGGTCCTCCTGAATCCAGGGCTGGTGCTCTATCCACTGCGCCACCTAGTTGCCCCTGACTCATAGAGTTTGAAACAGGCAATAGGCAATTGATGATATGAGATTGAAAGTTAGAGGAGAGATTGACACTATACACACATGTCTATATGTATATATATATATATATATATGTATGTGCATATGTATATATATGTATGGATATATGTATGTATATACTAGATGTGAATTATTGGCATAGAGATAATAGTTAAACCTGGGGAGCTGATAAAGTCACCAAGAGAGCAAGTAGAGACAGAAGAGTAGAAGTTATGGGATAGAGCCGTGGGAAACACCCAACAGTATGCTGGTAAATGCTTAACAACTGGTTCTCCAGAAAAAAAGTATGCAAGACATATTTTAAAATTTAAGTTGTATGATTAACATTCTCTCCATCACTTTCTTAAGTCTAGTCAATCAACAAAAAAATAGATTTGTCAAGTCTTGATTTGTAGACTTTGTTAATTTCTGAGAAGTGAATGTTTCTACTGAAAATTTAAGAATCAGAGAGCAGTTCAAGATGATTTCAGAGCATCCCAAGGAAACACTTGAAGTTAGAGGGCATAATCTGGATGTTCGGTTGAGTCATTTTTCAATTGTGTTTGACTCTTTGTGACCTCATTTATGTTTGTTTTTTGTTT